GCTGCTGAGGCCCAACGACGCTGAGATCCTGTGGCTGGATGAGCAGCCCTGCTTTGTGGTGGCCGATGCCTCCAAGGCGGGCAGCACCACGCTGCTGTGTCGCGACGGGCCTGGCTTCTACCCCCGCCAGAGCCTGCATGCCTGGCACCGGGACACAGATGCCGAGGTCCTGGAGCTGGACGGCCGCCCCCACCTGCTGCTGGCCTCTGCCTCGCAGCGCCCGGTTCTCTTTCACTGGGTCAGTGGCCGCTTTGAGAGGCGCACGGATATCCCTGAGGCTGAGGACGTCTATGCCACACGCCACTTCCAGGCCGGTGGGGATGTGTTCCTGTGCCTGACGCGCTACATCGGGGACTCCATGGTGAGGCTGGACCCGGCCAGGTGGGCGGGCAGCAGGCTTTCCAGCACAACCACCTCACGGTGGGGACTTCAGCACTGACCCTATTAGGCACGCTAACCTCTGACCTCTGACCTCTGACCAGTCCTCACATGCTGACCTTTGAATTCTGACTCTTCCAACACTGCCTCCAAGGTTGTGAGTCCCCTCCAGGCTAGCTGACTAAACCATCCTCCATCTCCCAGTACCAACACTGCTCCCAAGACTGTGATTCTACACCCCACACGTGCACCAGCTCTGCCTCTGTAACCCTGACACTTGCCAGGATGTTTACCCACAGTCTCAGCCTTCCCCACCCTGACACCGGGCCCCCAGGGCTGACCCTGGGCTTAGGCCCTGCCCATCCTGTGCCACTCCGATTTCCAGCACTCTTTCCAGCGCAGCTAAGAATTCTGGAGTTGACAGAGTCTCTGGTGGGGAACAGACTGGAGACAGGGATGAGAGCCAGGCACCAGGGAGGAGGCTGGAGAGGGTGGAGGATGGGCCCAGGCATGACCAGAGGAAGTGCAGAAAATGCATAACCACCGTGGACCAAACCAACAGATTCTATGGCTGACTCTTCTGTGTGTGGTGTGAGGAAAAGAAAGCTCAAGAGAAACTCTGATGTGTGGCCTGAACAGCTGGGTGGTGACGCTTATTTTTTATTTTTGGAGGGTCCTAGAGATTGAACCTAGGGCCTTCAATGTGCTAGGAAGTGCTCTCCCACTGAACTACAGCCCCAGCCCACGGGTGGTGACACTTTTAAAGTTTTAAAAACCTTTAGGATTCTGGGGACCTGCAGGCCCGTCCCCAAGCTGTTCCAAGTCCTCCCGAGCCTTGAGGATGACAGGCAGGCCTGGTCCTAAGTAGCCGCCTTGCCTCACAGGTCATGCGCTGGGATGGGTCCATGTTCCGCCTGCTGCAGAAACTTCCCTCACGCGGCACCCACGTATTCCAGCCGCTGCTCATCGCCAGGGACCAGCTGGCCATCTTGGGGAGCGACTTTGCCTTCAGCCAGGTCTTTCGCCTTGAGTCAGAAAATGGGCTCCTGGAGCCACTGCAGGAGCTGGGGCCCCCGGCCCTGGTGGCCCCCAGAGCCTTTGCCCACATCATCTTGGCTGGCAGACGCTTCCTATTTGCAGCTTGTTTCAAGGGCCCCACACAGATCTACCAGCATCACGAGTTGGACCTCAGTGCCTGAGACCGGACAGGACCTCAGCAGCTGGGACTGACACAGGGAGCCTCGGGCGTCTAGAAGCCCTCTTAGCTGGCCTCCTGGCCCCAGCCAGTCCTGTGAGATACTGACCACAGGCCAAGTTCAGCAGCCACAGGTCCAGACTTTAGCCCACCTCTTGGAGGATCTGGGCCGACTGGGGTAGGTGGAAGGTCACAGCCGCCGGACCTTATAAGCTGACCTTCCAGTGTGGCACAGCATCCCAAGTGACTTGAGAGCTCAGCCTGAGGCACCGCAGGGAGCAGGAATACAGAAATCAAAGTGTATGGGGTGGGGCGGGGGGTGATGTGCAGAGCTCTCGCGACGTCTGGAGGTTATCCTCTAGGTATCTTCCCATCTGCATGCTCCCTTTGAAAGTTGGGCTGAGAGCCTATCTTTCCCCTCCAAACTCAGTCTGGCCAATCGCATTCATGGATAAGTGCCCACCTTCACGACGTCACAGCCGCTAGGCAGTTTTTCCTGCCAGACCCAGTAATTTCCTCTGCTGTTTGTGCGCATGTCTGCTGCCCGGAGCAAGTGCGCGTTTCCTCCCTCTTGCGCATGCGCCTGCTTGGGTGGCGGGTGAGTGAAAGTGGGGAAATGAGAGGCGCCGCGTGAAGCCCCGTCTGAAGGACGTCGGGGACAAAGAGATAGTATATGAACTCAATAAATGCACTGCACCCGCCTGCCAGCTGCTGTGGGGTTGGGAGAGAGGATTTTGCGAATGTCATGGGCTGAGGCTGGTGCTTGGCACGGCCCAGGGAGCCACCATGGGGGCTCTAACTGGGCTCGCGATTATGGGTCGGTGGGGTGCTTGCGGGAGGGTTCAGGCGCGATTGGGGACGTGTCGCAAGCTCATCGTGGATCTCTTTTGAGGTCCTGTCTTAAGGACGTTGTGAGAGATATTTTCGGGTGTTTGGGAAATTTTATGAGGGTGGCTCATGGGAGCATTTTGGGTACCTTATTGGCTGTTGGGGAGTCACAAGGGACCCTGAGGCTCCGTGGGGAATCTCACACCGTGTGGCCACTGTGTATTATTAGGGGCGTCATGGGCAGTGTGAGATGTCTCCCTGGGACATCTGGGTACTCGGAAAGGACTCCTAATAAAGTGGGGTCTCAGGGTGAATGAGAGGGCGATGAGGTCTTACTATCACAATCAAACTGTTGCACACTCCCGGGATGGCAGCCTGACCCTGTGTCTTTGTTTTTATGGGCTGACAGTGTCCAGTGTCTGTCTGTGTGCCCCAGCAATCCGTCTGGGTAGGGCTCTCACTTGCAAGTGCTCCCCTTTTGCTACTAGAATTTCTTCAGCTGCACAGGAGGCTCTCCTGGCTGTGGATACAGGGAGCAGGCCCTGTGAGCTCCACCAGGCCACGAGGCCCTGGCCTTTTCCCAACCAGAGAATCCACACCCAGCTTCTGTGCCATTGCCAGCGGGTGGCCACCTCCTCCCGTCCCGCCCCAGCATGTGTACAGGGAGTCTAGTGGCCACCTCGACCAGAGGCAAGATCATTTTATATTAAACATTGAACACAGAGTCCTCTTCCATGAGAGGTAAGACGCAGCCCTAGTAAGGCACCTGGGGAGCGGAGGGGGCGCCATCTTGGGGCCGGGACATGAGATTAGAAAAAGCCCTCGATGCTTCTCTGCCTGGATGGTCCTCAGCAGTTGTGAGCAGAGCCTGGGAGAGGTAAAGGTGGAAGCTTGTGAGCACAGAGTCCTTTCTCCCCACACACACACCTCACTCCCCAGGGCTGCCCTCAGCACCAAGCTGCCTGTCTTACCTGGAGTGATGAGAGGTGGGGCGTCTGGTCCATGGTGACTGAGGAAATAAAAAGTGGTGAGATCCACATCCACCCCAATCGCCCTGGCCCTCCGGGCTAGAGACATCACAGTTTGCCCAGACACTGCTTGCTGACTGTCTTTCCAGTGTTGGTTCGTGCAGCACTTAGGGACTACAGCATTTCAGAATTTGGGGCCACCCAGGGCCATTAACTATGAAAATTAAACCTGAGAAAGCTTAGTGGCAGAGCCCAGGGACCCGTCCTCTTTCTGCAGCACCTAGCTCTTTCCCCCTGGAGAGTGTCGTGCATAAGGCAGGTGTGCCAGGAACAAATCTCACCTGGGCTTCTGGCTGAACTTGCATTTGCACTTTCCACCTGTTGGGGGCAGGGAAGTGGTGAGAGGAGAGGCACAGCCCCGCCAACCCCTCTCCCCCGCCCGCTCCTGCACTCACTCAGGAGAACAATGAATCCCAGGGCACACAGGATCGCAGCACAAATGAGCCCGCCGACCCGGAGCCTGTGCCAGTCTGGGAGAAAAGCAGAGGGGACCTTAAGGCCAGCCAGGTTCTCCTCATCCATCTCCCCCATCCACTTGATTGATATGTACTGAGCTTCTACAGTGTGCAGGGCTCTAGGATGTGGTAGTAAGAGAGCAAACCAAAACCCTCTCCTGGCTGGTGCACACATTCTAGTTTATATCCACGCAAACAAGATGTTTCCTGTCGGGTAAGGTGGAGATAAGCGATGTGAAGGAAAATAGCCAGGGCAAAGGATAGAAAGCCAGAGGGCAGCTCTTTAGAGAGTGATCAGGGAAGGGCTCTCTGAAGAGCCACACTGATCAGATATCTGCAAGAGGTGGATGTGTGAAAGAAAGCACAAGGATCATCAGGTGCAAAGGCCCTGGGGCTGCGGTTTTCTGCTGTGTCTGGAGACCAGCAGGAGGCCTGTGTGGCTGGAACAGGAGTGATGGGCAGTAGAGGTGAGGGGAAAGAGAAGGCTGAAGAAGCAGTTCAGTGGAATCTGGAGGCAGAATGATGATTGGAGTTGAATCGCTCATCTCTTCCAGGAAGCTGCCCCATGCTCAGTGTCAGCCTTCCTCCCAGCAATTGGTTAAACCTAATGGTTTTCTGTGGCCCATCCTCACTTGCTGTGCGCATCTACCTACCTTGCTGGCATAGAACCCTCCCCTGGGGCTGATTATCACCTTTTGTTCTTCTAATCCACTGCTTTTCTGGCTCAATGCCCTACTCTTAGCCCCTTCCTATACTGGGCCCACATCAGACCCTCAGCCCACCCCATGTGGCACTGCAGGTACAATGTGGTGTGTAGGGCAGGGAGGAAGTGAAGAACGGGCGCTCACCATAGTAGAAAGGACTGTTCTTATCTGCAAAGAGAGAGAAAAGACCATGGATGCAGGACAGCAGCCCACTGCAGGGGTCCCAGGGAGACTTTGGGGGCTGAGCGGGACACCTCCGACTCACCTTCTGGGTCGTTGGCATCCAGGGCAGGCAGGCCTGGAGGAGCAGCAAGTGGGAGAGGGAACATGGTGATGCTGGCCTAGGCAGCGCCCTCAGGGGCCTCCCCAGCACCTCGGGACAGTCGCCTCCTCCTGCAGGCTCAGGGGTCCTGCCCGGCTTGGCTGCCTCAGCATCGTGGAGACAGGGACTCACCCACCCAGCCCCACACCTTCGAGCCATGCCGGTGTCGTCCCCCCGAGACAGGTTCTATTCTGAGCGGCTTTGCCCAGCATTTGCTTCAACACTTCCAGACACACGGCTAATGCGGGCCTCCGCAGAAACAGGGGACTTTGCTCATCCGGGTGACAGATGGCTTCTGCCCCCGGGGCTGTTTGCCCCATGCCAGCCGCACTCCGAGTCCTCCTTGCACAGCCCACCTGTCCCCGAGATGGCTCCCCATCCCCTCAGAGACTCCTGGCCATCGCCTGGAACACACCCTGCAAAAATGCACCTTCACAGCCCTGCCCGAGCGGACCCCCAGGCTTGCCCAACACGACGGGCAGGAGGAACGCAATGAAAGCAAAGGGCCATTCTGGCTAAAAGTGCTGTGCTGCCTCAGCTCTGGGCCCGAGTGCTGTGAAAGGGAGAAAATCATTTTGGCACCAACACACGTGCTGATTCTGGGCTAGGCACCGTTCTATGCGCCTCTCAAACATGAACTTGTTTAATCCTTGCCATGATTCCGTGAGTAGCTGTAGTTATTCTCCTTGGGTTTACAAATGGGGAGACTGAGGCACCATGTGTTCCGGTCACTTTACTACATCACCACCAGGCCCTTGGGGGCCAGACACTCACCGGCCAGGAGGCCCAGCAGGCTCAGGGCCACCTCTTGCATGTCCGAGCAGTGCCCTAGAGGAGGCCAGGGAAAGGGTTCGGCCTTAGCAGGGCCACCAGGGTGGCTCCCCCACCCCCACCCCGCTCCACACCCACAGAGCACAGCCCAGGTCCACGCAGGATGGCGTCACTGACAAAAGAAGGAGCCCCAAAGTCAAGTGGGGTCTGGCTGCGGACTCAGGCCCGAGGAGAGGTAGTGTGTGACTCGCTGGACAGGCCCTCCGGGCTTCCACTGCTCCAGCAACCAGTGTGGGGCACTGCCCAGTGTTATCCTCATCTGTGAGAGGGGGAAACAGGCTCCCCGGGTGAAAATTGGTGCTAGGATCACTGGCTGGGAAGCAGGATTTCGACCACGCCTGGCTCCCCAGCAGCTGCTCCTAACCGGGCCTGTCAGGGCCTCGGGGTGATTTGGGAAGCAGGGCGTTAGGAGCCAGGTGGCAGCAGGCCCGGGTTCCGGGAGTTTCTGCATAGACAGTTTGGAGCCTGCCCGGCTCTGCCCAGACTCTGTAGACAGACTGGGGCGGAGCTAATGCCGGCTGGGGCAGGGACAGAGGGTGAGGGTCCTGTCGGCAGCCTCAGCTCCATCGGCTGTCCCGCCCCTCAGCCCCTACGCAGAAGCCTCACCAGCTCCAGTCCCAGCAGGCTCTGCCCCCAGCCCTAACCCCAAGCCGGACCCTGGGTCCAGCCTAGCCCAAGCCCGGATCTCCACCCCACCCCCAGACTCTGGGCCCGGCCCCAGGCCTGGCCAAGCTCCTGCTGCCACCCAACACTTCCTCTTCCCCCGTCCTGGCCCGGCCGCCATCTTCTCCTCTACCACACTGGGCGCCTGCAGCAAGACCTGGGTCCCTGTGTCACCCCTGCCCGTCCCTACCCTGCCCGACTGCTGCGGGCACGCGTGTGACGTCAGTCTCCAGAGCAAAAGCTAACACTCGCCCCAGCTCCGGCGCCTGGGACTCCGCCCCGTGACCTTGCTGTGTCTCATTCATTCAATTCCCACCAACCCCTGAGATCATCTCTCCGGTTCCCATTTCTTTCTCTCTTTCTTTTCTTTTTTTCTTTCTTTTTTTCCCTCCCTCCCTCCCTCCTTCCCTCCCTCCCTCAATACCCAGTACTGGGTATTGAGCCCAGAATCTTTGCACTGAGCTACGTCTCCAGTCCTTTTTATTGTTTTACTTTGACGTAGAGTCTCACTAAGCCACTAAGTCCCCTAGGCTGAACTCAGACTTGTGATTCTCCTGCCTCAGCCTCCCAGAGTGCTGCAATTCTAGACCGGTGCCACTGCACCCAGCTTCCTGCCCACATTTCGCCAGTGGCAAAACCCATGCTCTGAGTGGGTTTGGCACTGTCAGCCACCACAGTGCAGTGTGTCCTGCAAGTCTGCAGACTCCCGCAACTCCTTGTGACCACCCCTGGGCCTGGGATTCCTCTAGGCTTCCCCGATAACTCTGGATGCTAGACCCATAGCTTCCGTGTGAGCAGCCCTTTGGCAGGAAGAGAGCCTGCAGCTTCAGAGAACATTACCCAGGCATCTGGGACCCCGGGAAGGCTGTTCTCTGCAGCTGCAGCAGACGGTGGGTGGGGACACAGTGGGCAGGGGCACGGCCCACATGTGGACCGCCTGTCTAAAGCCATTTCAGGAGGCTGTTTGCATGTGATGATCCCAGTGAGCTCCATGCTTGTTGAGTGCTCACCCCACACAGGGGCAGCTCTTAACCCTGATTCCGTGGTCCCTGCTTGAAGAAGCTGGCGCTGCTATTATCCCATGTTGCCGCGGAAAACATTCCTCCCCCAGCTAATTCAGCTCAATGCCCCATGCAGTGTCACCTAGGGTTCATTTCTTTCTCTCTCTTTTTTTTTTTTTTTTTTTTTTTTTTTTTTTTTTTTT